ATTTGATTTCATTTAGTGTATAAAAAAATGACAGGAAAGAAGTTGTGTATCTGTAATCAAGTACATTGATCTTCATCTCGCCACATGACTTCTTGCTAAAGTCAGCACAGCATACCAGCTTTCTGAGACCACTATGGACACTATGAAATTCAGAGCTAAGGTAGCCTGTCCAAGTCCATGCTCCACAATTATTTAGTACATGCTTTGTAAGATGAAAGAGGAGGAATCAGGAAAATGGAGAAGACACAGATAAAACAATTAGCAAGGATGGTGGAATGTGATAGACATCATCATCCAAAGTACATGTATGAAGGCACGATTTGGTATCAACCTACTTAATATACTTTTTGTTGTCTTTAAAAAATGCTCTGTAGTTTTTAAAGGTGAGGCAACTAGATGTCATATATACTTTATATATAACCAGAGATATGAGAAATTGTGCTGTATACATGTAATAAGAATTTTAATGCATTCCGCTGTCATATATTTAAAAAAAATCAATAAAAAAGGAAAATCAGGAGACAAGAAAAAATACTAACACTGAGAAGTGAGAAGAAAAGAAATAAAGAACTAAAAATAATGAAGAGTAAGAGGAAGAAAATGAGGAGAATATATAGACTGGCTCAAGTGCTTGTCATTCAGGACCTCCCTGAGGGTATCCTCTGTCACATGCAACAGGTAAAGTCATTCAACAAGTACAAAGGATGTCCTCCAGACTCTGTCTAGGGGCCTACTCTAAACTCTGTCTACTCTGACAAACCACAGGAGAAACTGATGTGAGTCTGATGTGGCATGTTTGCACATCCTAAAGCTCATCTATTCCTTGTGTAGAGACTCTTGGTCCACTGTTTTTCCTAGAGTTCAAAATCAGACTTTTGTGTTTCTTCCATCTAGAGACTTCATCCAGATCTGCCTTGATCTCTGTGGCCTCTCTGTTGACCACTGTGGATGCTGAATCTTATCTCCAGTCATGCCACGTATTGGTCAATAAGTTTTCTAGGTCAGGAGCCCTGACCACTTGCTAAGTGCCATAGCCAAATAGTAATGATGCATGGCATTTTTGGTTGAAAGGTGACGTGACGCCAGCAAGCCATTGAGATGATATGATTATGTTAAGATCTGCATTCACATGGATATTAGACCCCTGCTGTCCACCTAGGCCTGCTACTTTGGAGCTCTAGCTGGACTCCCAAAGAGTTCCCATTGGTTGGGGAAGTGCGGTAGGAGGGAATTCCAGAGGAGGGATTTCCTGTTGGGGTAGTGTGGCCCGGGAGAACGCCGCATGTGTGGGTCGGCATATTTCCCGGGAGCATACAGGGCATTGGCGGGAGTTTCAGAAATAAAGTTTGTTCCTGTTTGAGTGGCTCGTGATTTTGAGCCCAGCCAGACTGCAGCAATTGGTGGCCTGGTGTTCTCCAGAAGGCAGGAGTGGGTGCCAGTGTCTCCTAACTGTTCCTGCAAAGATCAGCTTATTGGTGCCCTGAGAGTGCCTAGAAGGCAAAAAGTTAAAACAAACACCCAAAAAATTCTATCAACATTTTGTCTCCCCAAACCAGGTTTATTTTTCTTTTCATCCTTATAATTCAGATTTATCATTTTATCACTTATACATTTTTCCCATGAGAGGCACTGGACAGATCTTTAAAAATAATTTAGCTTCATCTAGATCTTGGAAATAATCTGTTGACAAAAGGATCTTGGTCAGGTGTGGTGTTCTCTTCCTAGCACCCACACAAGTCCTGGCTGATAATGGGGAGTGTACACCATGAGTAGGGGAATGCCTACCTGGATGGCTGGATGCAAGAAATGTAGCCCAGAAAGGCAACTTAGGAGAGAAAAACAAAGAAACAAACAACAAAAATCAGAAGAATTTCCGTGTGCTGAAATGAAAATAAGTGACAGGAGAAAAAGAAAGAGAGGAAGAGAGAGGGGGAAAGAAATGAGATGTATTTCTCTGCCCATACCCCTCTTTTGGCTCTGACAGGCAGCACCCAAAGGCACATCTTTCTTGGCTGCTCAGTCAACATCTTCAAGGACAGAAAGGAGACTCTGAGCACACAATTCTGCACTTTGCCCAGGAGCACTCTCTCAGGTTGGCCAGGACCCTCCAGGGTGGTATTTCTAAGCAGCTTTGCATCAGGACTGACTGGTGAGCAGAGCCAGGCAGAGAGATTCCAGGATCTGGGAACCCAAAGTTCCCTATCAATGTGGTGCAGTGCTCCCTTGGCTGCTGATCTAGCTTGCCCCAAGACACAATTCTTGTGACCCCTCTTGGCCACTCCCAGCAGGCTGGAATCATTGTCAGAACCAGATGTCAGTGGCACACTTAGGTGCATGTGAATTCAATTCACAGCTATGGAACCTGAAGACCACTCTTACATCGTTTCTCCTGACCAATGCACCTTTACTCTAGGCTCAAAGTACTATGGTGCCCCTGAGCACCGTTGGCAACCATTTTTTGGTGCAGGCTGACCCCTACATGCCTCCCAATGGCAGCAGAAGTTCTTTATCCTCCTACACAGACTGAAAGGAGTAGTCTGGGGAGCTGGGTACAGGTCTTAACTGAAGAGATTCTGCTACTTCTCAGCCTCTTTCCAGTCCCATTTCTACCTCACAGTTGTGGTATGGCAACACTTTGCCAGATTGGGTAAGTTCCCTGACCTAGGATAATCTGAAGTTGTCCATAGCATAAATGCCTTGGGCAGGTGGGATGATGTCAGTGTGGAAAATAACAATTTATTGCAAATTTTTGTTGGCTATTACCTTCTCAATATTGTAACAAAATACCCTAACAAGGAGAAAAGGTTCATTTGGGCTCACTGTTCTGGAAATTCCAATCTGTAATCAAGTGGCCCAAAGATATGGATGGTATTTGTTAAGGGTAGTATCTGATGCATTGGCTTATACCATAAGCCGGCAAAAGTAAGGAAGAGATGGAGGTCCCACAATCCCCTTCAAAGGCCTGTCCACAGTGACCTAGTGACTCCTACTAGACCCAACCTCCTGAAGATTCCACCACCTCCCAATAGTGCTGTCTTAGAGGGCAATCTTTTACCACTTGAATCTTTGGGGGACATTCACCCCCAAAATGGTCTTCTGCATTAAAAGTTTTTTTTTTATTTCAAAATTCTAAAGTGAAAAAAATATGCCACACACTGGCAGAAAATATTTGCAACAATTGATAAAGAATAATTAGTAACAAGAATGCATATGTTAATGACCAATATGAAAAGGATAAACGCCCCAGTCAGAGAAGGGACATGAAGCCATGGATAGGCTTTGAAATGAAGGGGGAAACATGAATGACCAAGGGTCATGCAGTAGACAATCAGGAAGTAGGAAAGACAATTTCAGTCCACAGTGAGATGTCTAATCAAAAGCACAATGTATGGCAATATCGAGGCTCATTACATGTGGAAAGTAAGGGGACCCTGAGATGCTGTTGGGGGAGTATACCAGATTTCATCAACTCTAAAATATTATTTATTCAAGATAGTTTGTTCTTTTAAAGTTAACACAAAAGGAATAAACCCCAATTCTCAGAACTCAATGCTTTTATCACATTGTTAATTTTATGTTATACATAAAATTATATTGAAGTCTCTTTTTTAGGTATTGAGGAAGGATTTTTAAACATAAATCATTTTTATGAATATATAATCAAAGAAAATAAAATTGATCAAGGTATTTCTAAAGCTGTTTCCCTTCACGATCTGCGGTTTTGGAATTCCTTTTTAATGCAATCACTGTACCACTGTTTCCCCACACTGTGCCTCACTCCAGGGTCCAAGTGCTGGGATGCCTTAGGGTCAAAGCACTGGGTGTGTCCTTCCACCCACATGCCTCCTTGTGAAAGCAGGGGTCTGTGGGGCTCCATCTGAACCTTGACAGGTCAGTGACTGCTTTGACCAGAATACAGTGGAAGTGATAGTATGTGACTTCTGAGGTGATGTCATAGAGGGCGCTACAGTTTCTGCCTTGCTCCCTGCAAATACTCTCTGAGCTCTGGGTTCAGACCTCTGAGCCACCATAAAAACGGTGGACTCACCCTGGGAGCTCATGCCAAGAGGAAAATTGAGTCCTGAGGAAAAGCCACATGCAGGTTCTCTATGATCAGTAGAAGGAGTCATCCTGCCCAGGTGTCATACCTGGGGAAAAGAGTGTGGAAGCCACCAGTTATCTTCAGTCACCAGTCACCCACGTCTTTCCCTGTTGCTCAAGTCTCCCCACAATGTACCTCATAGTGACCCTCCCACTTTGCCATCCTTGCCTCTCTGCACATAACCTGTGAGCACAATAAAATGGCTCTTGTTTTATGTCATAAAGTTTGGGTGCTTGTTACCAGGCAGTGGATAATGGGAATGGCTCCGATTCTCAGAGAACTTAGGCAACTGCACAGTCTTAATCCCCATCTAGATCCTGACATCCCATGGCTGATTTCAGAGTTCACATGAATGTCCCCTCCACTTCCTTTGTCCACACTAGCCTCCCAATCCCTGACTAATCACTCACAGTGACATCTTTAGCTATCCTTCCTGGTTAATTAAATTTCCAAGTTTCTATAGGTGGCTTAAGGACCAGTTGTGAGAAACTGGGCTGAAGGACAAAGAGGTCTCATCTTATATGCTGTTCAAGGATCCAGTGACTGCCACTTAGTATTGTCTACATGAAGGGCATTGAGCAGAGTTCAGGTCACAAAGTCACCATGTCAACCTTCCTGTCAATCATAACTACAGGGAATTCTGTCCCAGGGTGGGGGAAGGGCCATGCAGGCAGCTGGTGGCAGAATACTCAGAGCTGCTGCTTCCCCAGTCCCCATGCCCAAACAGGCTCCTGGTAGAGTGCTACAGTGATTGTTGGTGATAGGGCGCCAAACGGCTGTGGCCCCTGGGTACAGGTGGAGGTGGCAGAACAAGAAGCCAGAGGTGGTCTGTGCTCAGCCTACCTGTGACCCTGTACAGCTCTCTAAAAGCTAGAAGGATCACAGCGACATCAAGAAAATGGTGATCCACTGTCCTCAAGTGCCTTGCACTACACTATTTCTGCTACTGCTGCTACCTCCAACCCTTTTGAGATCAGGGAGCCTTCAGAACCATGGCCCTGGCTGGAGAATATTCCATCACCTGGGCAAGGGCTCAAGAAGCTTCTACAACCGCCGAGATCCAGGTGCAAGGCAACGATGGTTCCCAAGGCAAGCGGAAAAGGAAAACAGTTGCCAGGGGATCTTTGACCTCTACTTTATCTTGGACAAGTGAGTCACCCTTCTGCCCTGTCCCCAGATAGCCCATGGGGATTAGCTTTTAGCCTTAGTCACTATGGTCAGAACATTACAGATCCTGGAAGAGGACAAGCAGGGTTGTCTGTGGTCAGACCTCAGGTATGATCCTCAGCAGCTTACTTACTGCCTACAAGGAGGGACACCATCACAGGGTTCCTGGATGGCTCTGCCCCTCCAGCAGATCTCACTGGCTCAGATCTTGCTCCTACATGCCTCTCAGTCGGCTTATGGTTAGGATTCACCTTCTCAGCCATGTGGAAGGCTCACTGCTTGCTATTCTGGAGAGAGTGCTCTGTGGCCTCTGCTGGGCACTCTCCCAGTGCCACTGCTCAGAAGGTCCTGCACTTTGCTGCTTCTCATGTTTTGCTTCTTCCTTCCCCACATGGACAGCCAAGGCACAGTTCCTGCACTGAGGAGCAGGGGGCTCTGCTTCACTGTGACCCTGGGGAAGCTGGACCTTGCCTTAGGCTGGCTGTTAAGGAAGGAAAGGGAGTGTGGGTGTTTATGTTCTGGGTTCCATTCTCAGCCCCTCCTGCTGGTCTGGAAATGAACATTGTACTTTGACAGAGGTAAGGAAACCCCAGAAGGTTGTGGAAGCACGTACTGGCCTCCAAATCCTTTTCCTCCCTAGCATGTTAGACATCCACCAAACATCTTGAGCTGCAGATAAGCAAAGGTATTTTTTTGACATATGTCCTAGTCTGGGTTTGGCACCTGGATTGGGAAGGTGCCCAGAGGCACTGACAATATCACCAGAAAGAGGATCAAGGAGGTCCCCATAAGGGAAAAGAGGAACCTCAACTTAGCCCTGGAAGATTGTTGACTTATGCCACAGAAAAATATCAGCATGTTTCAAAATAGCCACAAAGATTTATTTTAAGAAGCAAAGAGAATTATTTAGTAAAGCAAGCAAAGGAACAGGCTGCCCATTCCAAGAGAGAAAGAATGTGGACATTTGAGAATGAAATGCCTTTTGGGGGTACTTGGGGTCTTCTTTTATAAGAAATTTTGTAAATATTGAACATAAGAAGTGTGTAGGGGATGAGTGATATCAGCCCAAGAGCTCAATTCTCTTTATTAAGGAGCAGGGTGCAGGTTATGGTTATCTGGTTCTTTCCAGATCTCTTAGTTGACATCATCCAGTTAATAATATAAGAAATACCATTTTTTTCTGGGGCAATATTATCCCTGTCTTTATTTATTCTAAAGAAAAGGTGTTGTATAAAATGTATAAACTAGTAATGTAGGTAGGAATTAATCATCTGGACTCATAATGCTAAAATATTGAAGGCCTTCATAAGAATTGAGGAAAACAGAATTGGGGGGGGGGTAAATTTGAGGGGTTTTATGGAGCTTCTTAGATTTGAAGTTACTGTTTCTTTTCCCTTCCCTGTTAGTCTCCTTTCTACCTTACCCTGGTGTATTTTATACCACCTCAACAAAACCTGGGCTTCCTGGGCTATTCTCTCTTCATTGTCCCAAATTTAGTTCCTCATAATTTTTTTTGCTGCTGTGACCTGAAAAAAACTGTAAACCCCCATATAATTTTTTCTTCGACTAAAAAATAATTCTTGTTGAATCTTTTGTTCACAGCAGCAAAAACAGCTAACTAAATCAGCCTCCTAACATCTTGAGGAGTTAGGTTATCCTTGCATTTTAGGAGGGCTAAAATGTAGATTTGAAGTGAGCTGATGATTTGCTCGAGGTCAATCATAGCTTGATGCAAATTATCAGAAAGTGAAAGATTCTCCCCTTTCCTTTCTGCAAAGGCATGAGTGGGGTAGGGGGCCTAGAGAAGGCCAGAGAAATTGTTTCTGAGTCAAAAATGTTGCCACTTGTCAACCCTCCTCCTCACCTCACATGGATCCCCACATGGCATCTTCAATGCTGGGAGACAAGGCAGTTAATCTGGCCAGACTTGGCTGGGGCTGGAAAATGAGCTGAAGACTGGGAGGCCAGGAAAGAAAGGGAGCAGCTTGAGTTCCCTGAGCCCCAGGTCAGGGTCCAGAATTGAGGCTGGTCTGCTGGATCCCCCTCAATTCCTAATGTCAAACTTGCCAATTGTCAATCCTGCTGGCCTCAGCAAGATCCTGTTGGAATTTGCCCTTAGGAGGAGTCCTAGAGGAGCCCCTCCACCTCCATTTCCCTGTGTTTTGTGAAGTTTTGTATCTATATTCAGAGGGAACATTGGCCTGCACGTTCCTAGAGTTTCTCTTTCTGAATTTGGTGGTAGGGTAATGCTGCCTCATTTGTATGAGTTTCAGAGTTTCTCCTTGTCTTCAATTTTTGGAAGATTTTTTAAAAAATTGATGAGATTTCTTCCTTGAAAGTTTGCTTGAATTCACCAGTGGTAGAATTCACGGGTGATTTTGTTGGTAGATTTATTTTATTTTATTTTTTACAGATTCAATCTTTTAAATGTTAAATTTCTATACATATTTTCTATTTAATTTCATCATTTTTTTAAGAGAGAGAGAGAGAGAGAGAGAGAGAGAGAGAGAATTTTAATATTTTATTTTTTTAGTTTTCAGCGGACACAACATCTTTGTTTGTATGTGGTGCTGAGGATTGAACCCAGGCCGCACACATGCCAGGCGAGCGCGCTACCGCTTGAGCCACATCCCCAGCCCCAATTTCATCATTTCTTTAGGTAAATTGAGTGTTGCTAGGAAAAAATCTATTTCATCTAGGCATCCAATTTATTAGCCAAAAGATGTCTGTCCATGGCATGCCCTTAATTTCTATAGAATTGACAATAAAGCTGACACAGATTTTAATCATTGTGTTGTCTCTCTTTTATTTTAGGTCAATAAAGATGAAGGTTTGCCAATTTTATGTTCCTTTCAAAGAATAAGGTTTTGGTTTAATCAAAATTTCTCTACATTTCTATTTTCTATTTTATCTCTTCTATAGTGTTCTCTATTTCCTTTCTTCTGCCAGCTTTAAATTTAGCTTTTTTTCCACAAGAGGAAAAGTTGATTTACTGATAGGTCTTTCTTCTTTTTAATATATTTTTATAGCTATAAATTGTCTCTTAGCACTGCTTTAGCTTCATTCCATGTTTTTCTATGTCATCATTTCATTTTTATTTGTCTCAGGTATTTTCAACCTTTCCTTGTGATTTCTTCTTTGATAATTTTCTCCTTGACAAAATTTGTTGTTTAATTCCCACCTACTTTTGAATTTTTGAGTTTTCATTCTGGTTGACTTCAAGCTTTCTTTCACTGTGATAACAGAAGATACTTGGAATGATTTCAAACTTTTACATTTGTTTAAAGATTTGTTTTATTGCCTAACACATAATCTACTAAAAAGAATCTTCCATATGAATTTGAAAAAAAATGTGTATTCAGTTGTCAGGTAGAGTGTTCTGTACATACTATTTCACACAGTGTTTTTCCTTCTTATTGGTGCATTATAATTACACATAATAGTGAAATTTATCATGCCATATTCGTGCATGCACATAACATAATTTGAACAATATCATGCCCCAGTATGGGTATAGTTTTTTAAAATAATTATATTAGAATATTCTATTTTTTCATTTCTCTATTTCCTTATATCTTATATAGTTCTATTTATGATTGAAAATGACATTTTAAAGTCTCCAACTATAATTTAGAACTCTTTTTCCATTTAACTTTGTTGGTTTTGCTTCATAAATTTTGGAGTTCTGATTTTTGATGCAAGTCTATTTATTATTGTTTTATCTTTCTTTGAGAATTGACATTTTTATTAAGAATAAAATATTTTTTTGTCTCTTCTGTCAGTTTGTACTTAAATTCTAATTAGTGGAATCACCCCCACCTCTCTTTTGCCTTACGTTGCATGAAATATGTTTCCATCCTTTCACTTTAAACTATGTATCCCTTTAGGTCTATCGTGAGTCTCTTGTAAACACTAGACAGTTAGATCATGAGTTTTGTTTGCTTTCTTTATTTTAAATTCCATTCTAACCATCTATTTCTTTGGATTAAAGATTTTAATCTGATTATATTTGAAGGGAAGGGATTTTGCATTATGTTTGTTTCCTGTATGTTTTCTGCCTTTTCTGTTTTTCCTTTTCTCCATGTCTCTCTTTTTTTGTGCTTAGTCGATTTGTAGGAAATGACACATTTTGTTTCTCATTTACTTTTGTGTATATTCTATTTGGGGTATTTTCTTTATGATTACATGTGGATTGCATGTAGCCTTCTAATGTTATAGCAACCCAATTTGAATCACTGCCATTTAAATTTGATTACATACAAAAGTTCTACATTATGCAACCTTTTGTTACAATGTCATAAAATACATCTTTATATGTTGTCGTCTCAAAAAGTATATGATTTTGTGCATTTGTCTTATAGATGCTGCAGAAAAGAAAAATAAGTGAGAAAACAAGATTACAACAATAATGGAACATATATTTGCTCTTGTATTTATATTTGCCAGAAATATTTCTATGTTCATATGGCTTTGAGTTATTGTCTGGTTTTTTCCATTTTTGTTGAAAGATATTTTGTCATTTCCTGGAGTTCAGGTCTAGAGCTTCTCTTCTGGTTCTTCAATAATCTATTGTACATCTCCACCCAAAACCTTTGGCCCAGGGCATCTATGATTTGTTGACTCCTGTGGCTCAGTTGTAGCCATTAAGTAAAGTGCCCGCCTCCTTTCCTACCTATGTTCCAAGTTATGCAAGGAAAAGTTGAGAGGGAGTCAGCCCATGAAGTATCCCCAAGACAGGTGAAAACATGTATTCAATAATTTGCAACTGCTCCTTTTAATTGAAGGACAATATTTTTAAAATGGGTCTACTGCTCAAAATCAAAACTGTCTATATACTGGAAATGGAGTAGTCAAAGGGTTAGCAAAACAGCACATTCACACAAAAAATTTCTCATACTTTGAAGATGGCGTTTTCTCATACAGGCACTTACATTATTGCTGTGGAATTTTTTCCAGAGACTTTGCAAAATTGGCCCAGAAGAAGTTGGGTTTTTTGTTTGTTTGTTTTTTGTTGTTGTTGTTTGTGTGTGTGAGGTGGAAAGCTTCCATTAGAAAAAGGGCATTGAGATTTAAAGACACCATTTCTCTGAACAAACACTCATGCTACTGGTTTTTAATTATAATTCCTTTTTTTAAATCACAGAAATACTTGACGATGCATTGAAATGTCAAGCACTCAAATGAGGCTCACAACAATAAAAAAATTAATAAATAAGTACTCCTGCCCAACTCTGCGAGACTGCAGATCCCACTCCCTAAGGCAACCACTTGCAAACTTATCTTTCATTTGTGATATTATCTTTCGTTCTAAGAATAAGCTTGTTCTGGAGAGTGTTTCTTGCTTTTTGTTTCTCTTTTCTTACTCTAGGGATAAAGCATTGGCTTCCTCATAACCAGCTTCCATGCGTGTTTCTGTAACATCTTCTTCCATCCCTTCTACATGATGATTCAATCAGTGATACAACTGTGATGTTTTGGTCTCAAACTGATATTAAAAGTGTCCTCAAGAGTGTAGTGATCTTGTCTCTCATGGGCACTAACATGATTGGAGCCCTGTTTGCTGGAACTTCATACAGTTTTCACTGTTCCTTGTTGTCTCCTTTCTAGGGAAGGAAATCTTGGTCCCTGTATTCCTTTACTCTTTCCCTGAACACTCCCTTCCTTCCATGTTCAGAATACACACCCTCTTTGACAATCATCTCAAACTGAAACTCTTACAGAACATGTGAATGTGTTGAAGACTCTGACTCTCAATAGTCTTCAGTGGAGGATACTCCTTTCTACAGGGGAAAAACAGGAGAAGAGTAAGAAGAGTAAGAAAGAAAGCAGACAATGTTACCTTTAGTTAGGAAAAAAAGCTGTCTTGCACATTAGCCTGGGAGCTGCAGAGGGCAAAGTTGGTGTTTTGGATGGGCTTGCTGTCTAGAGCTTAGTTAGCCAGCTAATGATGGATACCACAGCATCATTCAGGTGTCAGTGAAACAAGTGGTGTGTGGGATTTGAAGAAAGATCTTGGTTCAGAAACACGCTAACTATAAATATTGTCAAGAATTTCTTCACCACTCAGTGCCTCAGTTTTCTCAATTGTGAAATGGGTATCATAAGGAATGCATGCATATCAGGTTCCTAGCATACACATTCTCAGTGAAAGTTGAACCTGATATTGTTAGGGTTATCTAGATCTTATTTCATCATCAGCTACATGTAGTTTTATATGCAGCCTAGAGGAGGTAATAGGATGGTATAGAGAGAAGGCAGTTGCTATTAGTATGTGACTCAGCACATATAAGCATGACCTTCCAGAAACTCACATTTAAGGGCACAGTGATAACTGGAGAGAAGAAATGGTGACTTCTAGTAAGGGTTCTGACTCTCATAACACATGAATCACATGAACCACCATGGATCCAGGAAAAATGTCTGAGCAAGTACACTAACTTCAGTTTTACCATGGACCATCTCTCAAAACTTGGACAGAAAGCATAGCAGTTAAGCTTGACGTTTCTCTTTCATGCTTAGAATCTAGTTGCTGTCCCTTGGTGCAATGGAGGCTGATGGAGATGTGGAATTGCAAACACCTTTGACCCTGGGAAGTAGCACAGATGGGAGTGATCCCCACAATGTGGAATATCAGGAGGTTCCAATTCCCTTTACCTCCTCCCCAGAGATCCAGGGACCTGAGATCAGGATGTGAGAAAAAGAGAGCAGGGACCTGAGAGTCAGGATGGGAAGGTCCTGTGCCTCTCCCTCCTAGTTGGAAATGATGACAGCTGGACATGCTGCTCCTCTGGCAGTGCCTACTAGAAAAGGCCTTAGCACTAAGAGTGGCTGAGCTGTGCAGGCTGATGGGAAACACTGGGTATAAAATAAGCTCAGGTTCCCATCTACGCAAGATGAAGTTTAGATTCCTATTGAAAATGACTCCACCTGCTGCTCACAGTGAGCTCTGGGAAATTTGAGTCAGTGAGTGGAATCTGGCAGTGTCATGGGGTTGCAGGTCAGATAGGCCTGAGTAAATCTCCAATCTGAGGGGAAGGAGAATTGCAGGCCAGGACTTGTCACCTTCTGGGATTTGACTATTCAAGTGCCTCTGATGGCAGTGATGCCAAAAGCCCTTCTCTACCTGCCCATAGAGAGAACAGGAAATGGTTAAAACAAGGGCAAATGGCAGGGAGTTGGGTGGGCAAAGGGAACCTGCAAATCAGAAAAGATAATGGACTTTTCCATCCAAGATAACCTTCCCCATTCAGAGTCTACACAGATCCCACCTAGCATGACCAGCCACACTGGTAAATTACCAAAGTTACCTCATCTTGGAATGTCCTACAGTCCCAGGCCAAAGGCTTGACCACCCTCTGCTACTCCTGGCCCTGATTAATGTCACCTCTCAGGATGATGCACTATGGTTCTTGGTGCTGAGATGCACTTGTTAAGGAGCCTGCTAGACAGCGGGGCAAGGCAGAAACTGCACACCCATTGGATATGCCATATCCCCAACTCTTATTTCCTTTTTTTCAGGTCTGCCAGTGTGAACAACAATTGGATTTACGTTTATAACTTGGTGGAGGATTTGGTGAACAAATTCAAAAAGTACGGCTTCTCCACACTGCTGGCTCCTCTGTGCTGAGGGGAATAGTCCCTGGCAGGCAAAGGGCATGACCGTTAGATTTGGTGAGCGTGGGGGCACCTCATGTAGGGAGCACAGAGCCCAGGGTGCAGGGCAAGAAAGGAACAAACCACACTGCACCTGTGGGGTCTCAGCAACACTGGCTGGCCCCTTCCTGGGAGACAGGGTATAGTGCAGAGACACAGTCTTCCCTCCAGGACCTCATAGGCTGGAAATAAGTCAAGACCAAAAAGGGCTGGGGTTTTGTAGCACAGTGGTAGAGTGTTTGCCTAGCAGGTGTGAGACACTGGGTTTCATCTTCAGCACTACATATAAATTTTAAAAATAAGGATATTGTGCCCATCTACAACTAAAATATTATTTTAAAAGAAAGTACAGTAACTCAGTAACTGGCAGAGAACTTGACTTCCTTGGAAGGTTAAAGGACAAAGCAGGAATACCAGAAATCAAAGATAGTTTCCCTCAAAAAAGGTGGATATTTGAACTTGATCTTGAAGGATAGAGAAAGGGACAGGGTCACAGCAACCATCAAGGTGACCTCTAATGAAGAGGTTCTGGAGAAGCTAGGGAGTGAAAGAAACTCAGAGCCAGGCTCAGAGATGAGACAGCACTGACCAGTCTGGGGCCAAGCTATAGGGACTCATCACGCCAGGTCAAGGGACTTAGAATGTACCCTGTGAGCCATAAAGAAGTCATTGAAGATTCATGGATTTGGGGAGACAAGATCAAGATTGGGAAAAAAATTCAATAACTATGGGTGAACTGAGTCAAGAAAAAACAAGACCACTGGGGAGTTCAGCCAGAGAGGCATATAGCAATCTTATTATAAGGTCTGAGGGTCTTGGGTTATAGGGCACTGAAAAGAGAGAGAGAGAAAGGGGAGGCAGGTGTGTAAATGGCTGCCAAAAAAAAAGATGAACTCTTTGAGCCAGGGAATGAAGTGGGGACGAAGATACAAGCAAGGTGACAGTAGAAGACAGTCCAGGTGGGTGGGAGGCCCTCATGGAGGAGTGTAGATATGTCTGTCTCTTTTCATGTTCAGTGGGTGCATGATTGTGGGATGTGTGCTTATGTGTTTGTGCGTGTGTGCATGCACATGCATGTGTGTGCAAGTGAAAGAGAGAGAGTTGGGGTGTTGGGAATACAGAGCTGAAGCAGGAAACCTTCAGCACCCTCTTTTTCCTTGGACACTTTATCCCCATAGTCTTCAGAATCCCTCACCAAATGCTTCTGAACCCCCCTTATCTGAAATGACCCCAGTGCAGAAGAGACAGGGTGGGAATCAGGGAAATATGCATCTCCTCCCTGGCTGCTCACTGATATCCAGTAGAACCAGTGCATTGGCTTCTCATGAACTGTGCTTCCTCCTCAGCCCAAATATGCGGATGTCCTTCGTTCTCTACTCAAAGGGTGCAGAAATTTTCATGCCGCTCACTGGAGACAGGTAGGTGCTTCTGTGAAGCCCAAGGCAGGCCTGATGAGCCTGGCCAAGGATCAGAGAGGCTCACTGAGAGCAAGGTGGGCTGGTCCTGACAACCTTAAATACCCACATTGGCCTCCAGCCCTGGCTTGCCAGTGCCCCTCTGACGACTGCTTCATTGATACCTGCAGATTCTGTGCTTTCAGAAGTTCATCTACCCTGCCCTTTATCAGTCCTGAATTCTTCCCTGGAGGCTGGCTGTGTCAACCTTCCCCATCCCTATTCTAAAAGCTCATGGGGCAGATAGGTAGGTCCCACCAGAACTCTGGCCTGGGACCTTCCATGGCAGGTAAATGTCTGCCCAGGCCAGTGAGGCAGCCTGGGAACCAGGGGAAGTGCTTTGTAGAGGATCTAGGCCAGGAGGGGCCCTGAGTCCAAGGCAGGGATGGGTGCTGCAGAAAGGCATGAGGAACAAGCATCCAGGGTGTGGAGGGTGGGGCACCTGTGCCAAGGGGCCCAGAGGTGGGAAGTTGTGGAGCTTCTGACTGACTAGGAGGTGAGGGAGAGCTTTGGATGCAATGTCCAGTGCTCTGCACAGAGTAGGACAGGCACAGAAGAGAGGTGGAGACACTGAAGATGTCTGCATGTTTGTAGTTGTGGGGCATCTTTTGTCCAGTGTCCCCCACAAAAAAGCCAGAAGCAGGGAACGAGGAGGGACAAGCCAGCCCTAGGCAAGGGGAAGGAGGTCAAGGGCATGTGGACAAATTGGCCCCCACATATTGGTGTGGCACGTTTTAAATAAATCACAGGGTCAGTCTTGAAGCCAGACATAGAGACTATTTTCACTGGCGGGTCAGAAGGGCAGCAGACGAGTCGCCTCTACAACCTTCCACCCCTTGCAAAAGGTAGGGTGAGTGCACTCTTATAGCAAAAACACCCAAACCACTATGTTCCAAACCATAGCAACACAGGGAATGGGTCTGAATAATCCAGTACAGTCAGGGTACATTTCCAAAGAAAAAATGGGAACAAAAAAGAGAAAAATTTTACATTGTATAGGAACAGAAACATTTTCCAAGGCCGTGCATTTCTAAGCAGGCTGTGTTAAGCAGGATCAAGTTGACAGAGGCAGAGTTTTCTCAAGGGAGAAGCATTTCTTATATGAAATGGAGTGTCAGGGTCCAATGGAGTTTGTTTGGTCAAGACACATATATTCTGGCCCATAACAGTACAGTGTCAAGGAAGACAGGGAGGTGCTGGGCCCGTGGACACAGGGAAGACCTGGGTTGTTGGTATAGGTTTGGGAGAGACCTGAGTGGGTGTGAGGTGGTAGAGAGGAAGGATGTGGTAAGGATGCTGACAGGAGTCCCTGAGGGACAATAGGGCTGGGCTGGAAGCAGGAGGTACTGGGCTGGGCTGGGTGGACCCTGGTTTGGCCTTCCCTGGGCAGGGCTGGGTATGACCTCCTCATCTCCCTTGGCAGGGCCAAGCTTAGGGCCAAGCTTAGGGCCCTCAGTTTTCACACAAGGAACTTCTCTGCCTGTGGTGGAAAGCCACACCCAGGGTCTATTCTCTAATTTTGCTGACTCAGTCTGTCATGTTTATTTAACCCAGGCCTCAGTATGCCCCTTCCTGTATCCTTACTGCCAACAGAGCCCTCCCTGCCTGTCCTAATCCTGTCTGCTTTAACAGCACCTGACAGGCCAAATCCCCCAGCCAGTTCATGGAGCTAGGCTGGGCACCCTCATGGACAGCCTTGAGGGCTGCTACCCCAGCTTTGGGTCTTTTGTTTTAGTACGTCCTGGAGCCCAGCTCTCTAATTGAGTAGACTGGCCAGAAGTCTGTGGCAGTGGGGGATAGTAGCTGGCAGAGCTTAGTCATATGACTTTTTCTAAACTCAGCCTTCCCTATGGGGAGCACAGTGTTCAGGGGGACAGTGTTCTAAGATTTAGAGATAGAGGTAGGAATGATGAGCCCCCATGCTGTCTCTCACACACAAGCACATCCCTGTGAGCCTCCTCCTCTAACAAAAATTGGACCAGGCAAGCCCATGGTGAACTCCCTGAGGCCTGAATACCCTCACATGAGCTCAGAAAATGGCCTATGTTCTCAGCAACCATCATGCCTCACCTGACCTTCCACAGTGCTCATGACATTAGGGTCAGAGAAGGCTGTAAAACTTCCTGTCCAAGACCCAGTGCCAAATGGGGGTCACCATGATGCTTGCCTTGTGTCCTCTCGTGTCCAGGCAATTCCACGGTAGACAAAGCTGTGGGACAGTTCATAAGTTGGCTTATAATTGTCAGTCTTCCTTACCTTAATCTTTATTTTCAACTTGTTTTTCAGAAAAGTAATTGAAGAGAATCTTAAGAGACTTGAGAGAGTGGTGCCTACAGGACAAACAAACATGCACGAAGGATTTAAATTGGTATGAATGGCTGGGACCTGGAGTTGAGGCTCCCAGTTCTTAGAGTATCACTAAGGCATCTCACTATTATTGTCCAATGTTTCTTCATTCCTGGGCAGGTAAATCAACAGATGGAAAAAGTCATCGCTGAAGGTAAGCTGCCTGCTTCCTTCTTTGTGGTAGGTGGGGCATATAGCTGGTGCCCCTGGGAGACATATGTGCAGATCTCCTGGGCCTCTTCCAAGCTCCTACTCTTGGAGCCAGTTACTGGAGCCAGAACTGCAAGACCAGCCTGTGCAGTGAGCCTTGTATAGGATGGTTCTGAGAAGTACCTATATTTGAGGCCCCAGGTATCCATGCGTGGATCTTGGTCACTCTGAGGTCCTTGACCTACACTTGATCCTAGTGAACAGAAAGAAGAAAAACTGCAGGGACTTTGAAGAAACAGGCCTCTTTGTAAAGCCCCAACCCACAGATTGTTTTTCCCTGCCAAGCCAGCCTTGCTTTTCCTTCTCTCATCTGTGTCTTCCTTCTCTGAAGGGCCTCTTGGACCTGTATCTCAGACAACGCAAACAGCTTTGCACCCCCAGAAAGGATGTCCCTCTGGACTGTAGGCTTGAAGCTCCTGTCAGGAATATGTGGGGCCTGGTGCAGAACAGCACTGAGGGCATGTGGGATCCCCTCCCCTAAGCCCAGTGAACAACAGTCTTAAACTACCAGATCTACAGATGGCCCAAGAATTCCCACAGATTGTGCCTGAATCAGGTGCCTGGCCTTCATCAGCCTCACGGGCCTCTGCAGGACGGACTGTCTGACTGCCGCTCCCCTCACCCAGCTAATAGGCTAAAGCTTATGGAGGAATGTCTGGGCTTCCTCAGGGGCAAGTGTGCACAGATTGGGGGTTAATGAGAACTCAAGTCACCTTACCCAAGATGCTGAGGTGAGGGGAGCACCTGACCTGTCTGCTGTGGTCAGTGCAGGGCCTTGGAGGCCTATGGCAGCATAAACATGGATGGACACTTGCCAACCAAGCTACACTCTTTCTTGATTATTCTGTAGGCAGTAAAGCTACCCCCATGATTATTGCTATGACTGATGGAAGACTGTTACCAAACATATTTGAGGAGACCAAGGAACTGGTGAGTTCAATCCATGGTTCCCTGCACCGTGCCCCGCATAGTCTGATGATTTACTCTTGACACCTTTTTCTTAGGCTAACAAGTCTCGGAGTATGGGGGCAACCGTTTACACTGTGGGTGTGCTGGATTACCAGAAAGATCAGGTACTTCAGAGCAGGTGCCCAGGTGTCCCTCTGCAGCCTAGTTGGGAAAGGTCTCACGGGTGGCTTCCCAGGGCCTGGAAGAAGTTGGTCTTCTCACCTGCCTCAGGGAACTTGCACAACAGGTGACTGCGGTGAAAGGACAACCAAAGGGTGTGAGTCACCAGCACCATCTGTGCTAGGTGGGTGGGGGGAACTTCCTGCTCCCTAAGCCTGGGCTGTGGGCAAAAGCCAACATCTGACCCTGAGCTCCTGACACTCCACTAGCCCCACTGCAAGAGGGCATGACACTCTGCCCTGGGTCTGGGGACCTGCTGTGTTCTCAGTACCCTGGCTGAGGGGCTCAAGTCACCTCTTTTCCTTTGTAGATGACAGCCATTGCAGACTCCCCAAAGCACATGTTTGGGGTGGACACAGGATTTGCGGATCTGAAAACCGTTGTTGAACCAGTGAGTCTGGCTGAATGTGAGCACAGGTGATCTGCATCTCTCTGGATCCTGAGGATCACATTCCTAGCCCCCTTTCTCCCCTCTCTCTTCCAGCTTTCTTCCAAGACCTGCATTGAAGTCACATCTGTAGAGGCTTCTGATCGATGTGCAGGAGGTAAGAACTGAAGGGGTTACTGGTGTAGACCGATTGTTTAATTGATGAGTGTGCACATTGCATGAGTATGCATGAATGGGGTGATTGTGTGATATTATGTGTTTGTGTGTGTGATTTGCTTGATATGTGTGGTTCTTCCATGGTGTATGTTTTGTGTATATAGTGTGTGAGATGTGTATATGGGAATGTGTGTGTATCAGGGTGTATGTGTATGATATGTGTGAGTTTTGAATTTGTGACATGTTCACAACCAGTGAATATATGTGTGACTGAGTAGGAGTGGGAAGGTGTGTGTAGGTGTAGTATTTTTGACTGTGGGAGGATTGGTGAGATATGTATGTAGAGTGTGCAGTGTGTGCTATGTGTAGTATGTGTGAAGATATCTACACGTACCTGGTCAGTGGTGTGTGTGGTATACATATTTGTAGTGCAAATGCTGTGGTATGTGGGGGAACTGTGTGCCATGTGCAGGTGTTGTACATGTGTGTGTGTGTGGTGAGTGTGTTGTGCAGGAGGTGAGAGGGCATGGTGTGCATTTGTATATGGTGATAATGGTGTCTGATGTGTGTGGTATATGTGTGGTGGATATTTGGTGTTTTGTAGTGTGTAGGAAGATATGAGTGTATATGTACTGTGTGGTGTTTATATGATGTGTGGTGCATCTCAGAATTTGTAGGTGGTATGTGGCATGTGTGATTTGTAGAAAATCTTTGTGGTGTTTCCAGTCTCTAAGAGTAGTATATGCTGTGTTTTTCATTTGTACATTGTATTGGTGTGTAGGTATCTATGTGCATGATTCGTGTGTAGTGTTTTGTAGTGTATAGTGTTTGTGTGGAGTTCTTTATTGTGGTGTGCATGTTGTGTGCACATGTGTGGGTATGAACTGTGTGTATAAATTATGTGTGTTTTGGTATAACTTTGTGGCGTGTGTATGCAATATATATGTGGTGTGTGTCATGTAAGTTTGTAGATTGTGGGTGGCATGAGTTATGTTACAACAGGAAGTTTGGTGTTTGTGTATGTTTATGGTTTCTGCCTATATAGGTAATGGAGTGTGTTGTATGGTATGTGTACCAGAGTATGTTGTATGTGAGAACAGTGGTATTTTGTGGGGTATATACTTGTGTTGTGGGTATGTGGAATGTGTGTGCAGGATATGTGTGATATATGTAGTGTTTAGGGAATGGTTTGTAGTATGTCAGGAGTATTGTATGTTGCATATGTATGGGTTTTTTGGTGTGTATATGGTGTATGATTTACTGCCTGAAGGTGGAGTGTTTTTATATGGTATATGGAGGGGTAAGTGTGCATGGGATATACAGTATATGCATGTGTATATGTGTACCGAGATGTGTATTTTGTGTTTATGTGTGGTGGAGTGTTTGTGGGTGAGTGGATGTTGGGAGTGTGCATGGGTGCATGTGTATAGATATAGTGTATATGAAATGTACATTTTGGGGGTGTGTGTGTTAGAAATCACGATGTGGGTATATGTGCAAATATTATCTATCTAATACAAAATGTTTAATTGCAAAAGTAGAAAAACATATTTTTTAAAACTCTCAAGGAAACACTAGCAAATGGAGTGAGCAACATTTAACAGGCCAGTAGGTCAAGGGAAATCAGGGCTCATTCCAGGAGGACCAGGCTGATGGGGGATTTGAGAAATATGTGGAGTTTGCATATCCACCAAAAGGGGGTGATTATATAAATGGATGAAGAAAAAGAACTGGACATAACTCAACTTCCAGTTTCCTGATGGGAACAAAGGAAACCTCCCTACCAGATAGAAGTGTCCACCTTGATAGCCAGGGCTCATGTCACCCAGTGGGGAAAGGGCTACGTCAGTCCATTGTCCCCTAGGATTGGACCTGACCAGGATGCCTTTGTCCACCTTGCATTCCTGCCTCAGTGTGCTGAGGGTACGATTGTATGGTCTTGGAGGATGGCCACCTCTCCTTGTCACAAACCCTCTATGTAGCCCTGGTACCACATGGTTGGTGTCCCCACACTGTGGTTGATGGAAACAGAGCCCTCAGCCTCCTTTTTCCCCTGGTGGAGCTTAGGAGCAATGTGGACTCTAGTCAGGCAGTCCTGTCCTCCCTACCCTCCACAGGGAGGCTCCATGGCCACAGGCTGTTGGTAGCAGAACTGTGTGTACATCTGTGCTCTGCTACCTGTGGCACCAGGCCTGCAGCAAAGTGCCAGATATCTGGGACTTCAGTGTGGCCTAAAATGGATAGAAATAGCACTGTCAGGACTGTTGGGAGACACAGAGGTGGTGACTGGATTAGCACTTGGAAGCTGATGGGTCCTAAGGACAGTGGCAGGTCCTGATATTTGCACTTTGGATCTTGGTTCAACATTCCCCCAGCCCTTGCTTGTGTTGGGCAAGTACTAAGGGGTGGGGGTGGACTCAAGGACCCCCATTCTCCCATATGGCCTCTTCTGCTTCTGGTTTAAGCAGCCCAGGTGGCTGGTGCCTGTGTGTCATTATGTGACCCGGACACACAGGCCTTGACATCTGAACAGTTAGGACAAACCCCATGTGGGGATGTGAGATGTCACTCCTTCTAGCAACTGAATCAGTGTGACAGATGTGTCCGAACATAAGCTTGGCCAGTGACCTGTTCATTTACTGGCCATCATGTGCAAGTTGCCACATACAGAGGGACAATTACTCAGATGGGAAACCCAAGGCAGGATCCTTGGAGCCAAATGACACATAACAGATCAGTTCTCATTTTATCCTTGAGAGTCTAATGAAGGAGGCCAGGTGAAGAATAAAGTCGACATGAGCCAGGAGGTGACTGTACAGGTGAATGAGCCTGGACTTGAGCTTGAGGACTACTGAGGACTACAGGAATCCTGACTCCTTTGGAGCTGGACACCCTGCTCTCCTCTCTGTCCCTTGTATTGGCCTTAGGAGAAGGAGGCTACACACTGGTAGAAGGAAGTGCTTGCTTACACACAGGCGAGTGGCTGTGCTCCTTGGTGTGTCAGGAAGAGACAGGGATGAGGGATGATGTTCTGGCCTCAGGACCCACAGTTGGGAATGGACACATCCTGTGAGGAAACCTCCTGGGGAGGGTAGGGGCCTCTCCTGTGCCACACCTGTTTTCCTGCCCTGCTTCTAGAGTCTCCACTACCACAGGCACAGAAACACAGGAAGGAGGAGGAGGAGAGAGTCCCTGAACATTCAGGAGCCCCACAGGCATAAGGCAGGGCTTCTTCAGCCTGTGCATCAGAGCTCCTCTCTGCCTTCCATACAAGAGGGCCGGCTCAGTACACAGCCTGGGGCCCTGCAGCTTAGGAAGCACTGGAGATTTCAGGGTACGAAGACTTCCTCTGAGTTGGACCCTGTGCATGTACTGGCTTGGGTTACAGTCATGAAATTTTTGGATCAAGAGTGATGGGAGGAGGATCACCAAGTGTGCAAGGCCCTTCAGCCACCTCAGCCACACCAGATGAGAATGTGTCCAAAGGGACTCATGGATGCTGATTCAGACATACCTGCTACCTCATCAGGGCCTTGTGGGAATCACACCTTGGGGGTTGGACCCCCATGAACAGTGAGTCAGAGAGAATGCAGCCCTCAGCTCTTCCTCATTCAGATATTTAAATGTTGTTCTTGCAGCTTCTTATGATGTGTTCATTACTGGACAAGGTTTTCATAATGCAAGAAATAAGGACCAGATTATTTGTAGATTCAAGTTCAAGGATAAAACCGCTGTTGGTAAGTACCCCTTTTGTGCCTCAGGCCACATTTACTAAACAACAGAGCCCCATCCCTCAACCAGCCAGTTCCCAGTCCCTGCTGACCATTCTCAGTGGGTATTGTGTGGTTAGAGGCAGTGTGGACAAGTGGAAGGATATACCTGCTGGGATGCATGGCCATCTCTCCTTTCATCTAAACATGGGAAGTAATAAATCCTCAGCAGCCCAAGAGTGTCTTGGAGTAGGGATTCACACCTCCACAAGGATGAGTTTGTGCTGGGCTGCCCTCACAGCAGCATTTGCCCCACAGTGTCCTCAGCTTCCTTTCCCTGATGGCCGATGTCCTGAGCTCAGGAGGCTTGTGGAAGGGAAATGTAGCAGCACCTAGACTCCGAGCCTGTTCAGGTGCAGCGAGCCTTTCTGGGAAATTATTCATTCCTGCAAGCAGAGGAGAAATCAGAGACCTTCATGAATCCCCAAGGCTGCAGATACAGAGTGGTCAGCCCTTCTTGGCTCTCATACTTGACCACAGCTAAGGAGGTATAAAGAGGAATTGGGCTCAGGGCAGAGAAGGTTCCATAGTTGCAAGTTATAAAGCTCTTTTCAGGCTCTCTAGAGAAAGAAAGGAAGGGAGAAGAGAAGAGAGGAGAGGAGAGGAGAAGATAGTAGAGGAGAGGAGAATAGGAGTACGAAGCTCTTCTCAGTCTTCCTAGAGAAGGAAAGAAAAGGAGAGGAGAGGGGAGGGGAGGAAGCCCTATACCTTCCTCAGGTTTCCCCTTCTCAGATGGCACTACCATCCACCCACTCCCTCTGGTCGAAAATCCCAGAAAAACCTAGTGTCATCTTTGATTTCCCTTAGTTCTATCCCCATACCCAGTCCACCATAAAATCTTGCAACATTTATAGCTAAACAATGACTAGAATCTATGCAGCTCCTGCAAAATCCATCAGACTTGAAATAAAACACAACCTCTTCCCAGGTTCTTCCCACTCACCTTACCTACCTCTCTTGGCTCACTCCTTTCCAACTCAACAAGCTCAGTAGTTCATGCCTCAGGTCTTTGGCAAATGCCACTCCCATAGCACAGAAAACTCTTTCTTCTGCTGTTCCTTGGATGCTTATTGTCTGGTTGGTCTCAGCTCAAATATCAGCTCCTCAGAGAGAACTTTTTTTTTTCTTTTAATGAACATGGTCCATAGCCTACATAAGTAGCAAGAATTGTCCATGAGTTTAAAGCACCCACCATCTAATCTCCATCATACACAACCCACACCATCTGGTTTCCCTGACAGACAGAGGGGTGACAAATTAGATGTACAGATCCATTGACATAGTCGTGTCATTTTCTCTTCAGATAAAAAACCCAAGGATTCCAATGACACTTCCATAACTTGTCCTGGAGCAGAGATAAAACAACCTGATGAGTAAGTACCCCTGCTTGAAGATCTTAGGGTGGGAGATCAGGTGCTCAGTGTTTACCACCACTAAGTGTAGAGAATTTGGAATGGCCCCTCTGCCAGGATGCATGTCTATCTGTGAGTGGGCTAAGGGTACCTTCACCACCTGCCCTTTTTGGTGACCAGCAAGGGGTTCAGGGATCCACAGTAGCCCAAGCTCTGACAAGGGAAGGATGCAGGAGACAATATGTGCAAAGACTGTTACCCTTGTTTCAATTGCCTTGCAGAGCAAAAACTATATATTCTTTAATAAAATTAAGGATGGTGACACCATGCACACCTCTCTGGTTCCTTAGTCTATGGTCATGATGACATCAGATGTCATGAGGACGAATCATGGTTTGACCCATAGTCTTCTTCGCATTGCTGAGGTCTTCCTCCTCATGCTTTGTGTGATGAGCTCTCAATATCCCCCTATATACTCTCTGGGGGTCTTAAATGCTGAAATGTCAGATTTATTATAATGAGGATTTTAGTGGGCTACGGTTCCCCAAGGGCCTGAACCGAGTCTTTCTCGGCTGGTTCTCAATATCTGCCCTTTCTGTGCATTAGGGAGGTATTTGTTGAAGTCAGCTTGAACAATGGTGAGAGCTTCCTTGGGAACAAACACAGCATTAACAGCACTAAGTGTGGCGTAAGTACCTGGGTGGGGATTCAGCGCCCCCTGTGCTGTCCAGAGCCCCTGTTCTAGATGCCAATGCACCCTGGACAGATCAGAGAGGCAGAAGGTCCCAGATAGGCCTACAAAGCAGCTTGGGCAGACAGGTTCCTCCAAATTCCAGGTGGGCCAGTATGGGAGCCTGGAAGGTTGCCTGTTACATGCTAGAGTCTATGACATCTAGGGTGCCCACCCATTCCATGTGGGAATGCCTAGGCACAGGGATCTGGGTGGTTCTGCCAGCTGAGGTAGGATGTGTGTGTGCACTGAATTGGTGCCTCAGTCATGGATATGATACCAAATTCATTCTGGACCCGGCCTTGAGGCCTGCTCAGTAGCCCTTCAGGCATGCCTGGGTCCTCAGTCTCCTCTCTGTCCCAGCTGTCTCCCTCTGTGAGCTCTCTCTCACCTGCAGTGCACACCTCCTCCTATCCCACCACACTGTGGTTGCAAAACAGCTACCAGTTGTGTGTGGCCTTCTCAGCTCAGCAAGAGCAATCTGAAAATGAGGGTGTTACCCACCCAGTGTGTCTTTTCTGAGCTTCACATCATGCCAGCAATTTAGCGAAATGTAGGATAATAGGAGGCCTGGAAAGAGGAGGCTTGTGCCTACTTATCACTCACCCTTACATTCAGTGTCAGCTTGTGAAGACCCTACAGGGTTGACAGTCCCCCTCAAAGTCTGCCTTGGCTTACTCCTGCACATCCATGCACAGATCATCAGGCTGAACTCACACATGTGCTCATCAGGAGACCACCTGTTCATAGCCCTTCCTGCAGTAGGCACAGTTAGGAAAGAGCACGATTAGCAGTCCAGTGACTCCAGCCCAGCCAGCGCCCATCACTGCTGCTCTCTGCATCGCTTCTCCTTTCAGCCACCTGTTTTCTTGGCATAGGCTCCTCCCCCATATCCTCTCCTCAGCTTCACTCTAAGCAACCACTTGACTCAGGAGATAGTGGGGAAGGCTGTGTTCCCAGAGGGTAGCCTGGGATCCCTGAAATAAGAATTAAAACCAGAAGAATAGCCCCCACTTCTTAAACCCCAAGTGAACCTGAGCCCAAGCAAGGATATTTTAAACTCTCTGAATTGACAAATGCCCATAAAGGAGTGGTGTAGCTTCCTCTTGTTGTAGATGTGCTAGCTGAGACTCAGAGAAAGGAGCAGGTAAGGTTACGGCTATAGAGCTAGGAAGTTGGGAGAGTTTATAGGTTGATAGACAGCTGTCTCCTGTTCCTATCTTGTGCCTGTACCTCTCTGGGGTCCTCTATCTGGGCACTTGTACTTTCTGTAGTCTTTACAAGGTCCTGAATTGTAAACTGAGGTGAACAGTGAGGGCCAGGTTCATCAGATATGAAGCTTCTGGGTTATTGTATGTCCAGAATAAAGACATCAGATACCATGAGGACAAATCATGGTCTGACCATACTCCCCTTCACATTGCGGAGGTCTTCCTCCTCATGCTTTGGACAATGAGATCTCAATATCCAGAAGTCTTTCAGCAGGACCAGAGGCAGAGTTTACAACCCTCTATGGAACTGCTCACCCCCTTCACCCCATGATATCCTTGAAGGTCAGGCAACCTGAGAACTAAAACTGGAACAGATGGAAAGCAAGGGGGTGGGCAGTTAGGAAAAAGCCCTTAAGTCTTTCCAGGGCCTCCGCCATTAGTATTATCAGCTACATTATTTTCTTCAGGGTGGCGAGGGTCCCCCAGTCAACACTGAAAATACTGTCACCGTTATTGAGGAAAAAACCTATGACCTGCGGTTTCTTGCCTTGCTGCCACTCTTGCTGCTGATCCCACTGTTGCTGTACTGTTGCTGGAAACTATGCCTCAAGGTGAGTATGCCCAACCCCCAGCACATACCGTCTATGCGAGGGAGTTGCCCATGAGTTCTGAGATGTATGCAAGGTCCAGTGGAGGCACAGATTAACCTCACTTTCCCAGACTCTAGACACAGCCTGGACTCATGACATGATTCCTTCCCAGGCTGGCTCAGAGAGTTGGCCTGGGACACGTGGATGCTTGTTTCAGGCCTGCCCTAGGCCCTGGAGAAGGATATCAGAACCTCTGGTACCAGGGGAAGCTCTCAGAAACTGGACTTCAGCAGGCCTTGGATGGACAAGGACCCAGGGCTGGCCTCTGTGTGGAAGAAAGAGTAGGAGAGGGAACCCAGGAAGTGTTGATGGCTCCAAATGCCGAGTGATGCTGGCCAGGGAGGAGTAGCAACTTCTGGGCCAGAGGAGCTGTTAAACCAACATGGATCTCTGCACCTTTGTAGTGCCTTCTGCCATTTCTTCATCTCCCATGGCTGAGTGCCAGTGATTAGAGGCCCATGATGGGATCCAGAGGTAGAGAAAGGAAGCAGGTACCCTCCTGGCCATGGGGAGCTCCCAGACCTGAGTTCATTCAGGGCATGAGAGGGAGATGTCACTCTAAATAGGATGCAGTCAGTATCCTGAGTACAGCAAAGCAATAGCAAAGGACTGAGACTGGCACCTGGGGGCATTAGGGAAGGCAGAGGCTCTGGAGATCAGGGTTGGAAGGAACATCACAGAGAACTAGAGAATGGAAGCAGAAAGAGCTGATGTGGGAAGGACAACAGCCAGCACAGGGCAGGAGGGTCTTCATTGTGCACAGTGGGAGCAGTGAGCAGAGAAAGCCTATGACTATCCCAAGGTGGGGAGGCAAGTGAGGGCACCAGAGACAGAGAGGATCTCCAGAGGAAGAGAGGCCAGAGTGTGTTCTGGCTCCAGGTAGGTTCTGGTTAGATGTGCAGCACTCCAGCAGCTGAGCCTATCTAGGGGTAGGCTTCTTGGCCTGGCTCATCTTCCATAACCCTTCTAGGAAGCATGAGACACCCATTGGGTCAGGTGGAGCCTGCTAGGCAGAGCACCATAGGCACAGGGAACCCCTGCCCCCCACCACACACACACACACACACATACACACACACACACACAAACACTCACCAAAGCCATGTTCCATTTCTTTGCTCCATCCCAGTGTCCCCTCTGACTGCAGAGCCCAGGCAGAATCCATGACACCTCCTCCATTTCCTGATTTTTGTCTGTTTAACATTCCAGGATATCATGAAGCCACTACCAGAAAAGGTACGTGCAGGTTTGAATCATGACTTTGTTACTTACCTGAGAACAACACTGACCTTCAAAAGATACATCATGAAGCCTGTGCCCTGGAGCTCAACCTACCTGGGGAAAGACAATGGGAACAGAGGGTCAAAGAGGGATCTGGGGAGGACATTGACTAGGTTGATATCACCCATACAACACCCCTCCAGGCATCCAGAAATTCTTAACCATGAATCTGTGCTACAAAAATAGTGCCTTGAAGGCATATTCAGAAGATGTGATGATTTCTACTAAAATAAGTGGGCTTTTTGTGGGACTCAAAGGACTTACTGTAGAATGCTGAGTAGTCAGGGAGCCTTTTGCAATAGGAACCTCAAGTTTCAGGTGCTCATTCCCATCTCCAGACTCTGGAGGTTGGTTTGGCTCCTTTAAATGTGTCTTCATCCCTGTCTCCTGGCAGGGGTGAGGGTTGGTCTGGGTCAGGGGCATCTGGGTCTGGAAGTGGTAGGAAGCTGGCCTCCCTGCCCAGGTGGAATCTGTGCTGGCTTCAAATTGGCCTGGGAAGGCTGCATCTGCACCTGCCATACCAGCTGGAGTGACAGGCATCTGCAGAGGCAGGGCCACTGAACAACATCCTCCAGGCCAGGCTTCTTCCAGCAAGGGACTATCTGAGAGCTAAGAACACAGAAGTGAGGTCAGTTTGAGGAGGATCCAGATGTATGAACAGGGAGAGTTTAGCTGTTCTGCTTGTGGAGGGTACTCCCCTTGCTATGGGGTACCACTTACTTGTCTTTTCATGTATCCCACAACATTAGCTGAGTGGCCCCAAAGTGCCAGGTGCCTGTTCCAGGGACACCATGTTCAGCTTCTCAGCACCTATATACAAGGATGCAGAGATGTGCTTTTCTCTTCTAGAAGCCAAAAGAAAAACCACCCCCTCCACCACCAGCGCCACCACCTACAAATCCTTGCCCCACAGTGATCATCTCCTGTTGTGGGTGTGGATCCGGCATAATGGAGGTAAGAAGGGCCCTTTGATGGGGCTGTTTTGACCCCCTGGTTGACAGGGTAGCTAGTTTATTTCATAAAATCCTGAGCCCTGGATAGGACTTGGTTTTGTGGAACTGGTCCTGGATCATTTCATGCTAGAGGATAACCAGAGGCCCACCGCAAGCTTCTGGCTAGGGAGGCCAGTAGACACAAGGGTTCACTCCATCCTAGATGACTTATTCCTGCAATGATGGCATTTTTATCAGCATTCAGAATTCTGGACTGTGGCCAGTCGTTGACTTCTGGCCAGTCTCTGGTACTCAGAGACCATGTCCGACTCTGGAAGTGGTTTTGGTGTTAGAGTGCCGGTTTATGGTAGATGAGTCAAGACACAGTGAATCACAGAGAGACTTTCAAGGTCAAGGACAATAAAAACAAAAAGGACCAATGCTGAGCCACCTTCTTCCCACCATGAAAACTCAAGAAATGTCATTGTCCTCAGACAGAACAAAGAAAAAGCACAACCCACTGACTCTACAGCTCACTAAGATAGTATGACAAGAGTCACAACAGGAAGAGGCACAGATACAGACCCTGAAGGGCATCACAAGTTCCCTGTGCAGGGGTTGAGCCCTAGGATATAATGTCAAAGCCTGAGGAGCCCTCCTTAGCCCAGAAGTGCCAGGGCCCATCTTGGTGAGGAAGAAGCAGGCCAGGCAACAGCCTTGGGCCTGGAACAGGGATGCACAGGCTCCCACAAAAAAAAAATGGTGTTGAGGAAGGAAGAGAACCCAATTACCACCAGCTTTGTGCTCCTCCTCCCTGGTTCTGCCTGTCTTGGTTGGATACATTACTCCTCCCGGGAGCTTCTAGCCCCTCTAAAGCTTGACAGACAGCTGAGAAGCCAGGCCTGCAAATCCCCTGATAATGGGTCACAAAGAAGCCAAAACATGCTCTCCAGAGGACAAGGCCACTACCAATGGTCTGTTCCAGTCTGCAAGGCCTGGGCCTATCCACTCAGGGCCAGAGAGGCCTGAACTCCAGAGCTTGAGGCCATGTGCTGCCCTATTCTGGCCTCCTCACTGCCTTCCTCTTCTCTCTGTCCAGGTCTCAGGTACCTGATCATGAGAAGGACATTGATACCTCTTTTCTACCCTCTCCCTGTGTGCCCCCTCCCTTTCCTGGAGCTTCTGCCCAGGACTCCAGGCCCACCACATGTTCCCCTTTGAAGACGTCTGCTTGCCCACCACACATCCTTCCCAATATTTGTTTTTCATGGCAATACTGACTTATGATGCCAGTATTTCCACCCAAGCTGCCACCCAATGCCATTGACTTGGTAATCATCCTGGGGACCAGGTGAGCCAAACATGGGGATGCTCCCAATGGGAAGAATGGCCACCGTTTTGGCCCTTGGACAGTTGCCTCAGAGCCTCAGAGCTTCAGAGCTATGACTAGGTCTATGCCTAGAAGGAATGCCTAAGACATGGGACAGGTCAGGTCCCTCATGAGTTTCCCTAACAGTGTCTGTGGATGGCCCCTGTGCAGTCCTCCTGCTATTTACTGGAGACCAGCAGGGCTGGTGGATGTGGTTGATAGTGCTGCGTGGCCAACACTGACCCCTTTACCAGGTGTTAAAGCTCTGGTCTTCTTTCATTATCTGGTGACAATAGGGAAAAAACACATCACTTAGTTGTTTTCCTTGGGATGTCACAATACTGATTGATGGCTGTTATTTAGTGAGTCATCCTGTGGGCCAAAGGCAAGCCTCAGAACTTTCCCTATTTTCATCGTCCCGGTAACTGTACAGTAGGTTCTAATAGATTTCCAGTCTGACCTGGGGAGCTAAAGCATAGAAAAATTGAGTGACTTGCCCATGTTCAAACTCAAGGACTCAGAGAGTTGGACTTGATTTGATGTCTGTTTCACTTCCTTCCCCTGCCCAATCCCCTATGAGATCAGCTTTATGACCTTGTGATGGTTACATTGATGAGGTCACTGGAAGGCTGCATTGATGAGGCCTTACCTTTGAGAGTCCTCCCGTGACGGCCCTGGGACTCATCTGCCTGGACACCCCATTCTCAAGCTCTCCATAAAGATAGGGTTCAGGGCTTGGAGGATGATTGTCAGTGCCCAGAAATTGTGTGATTGCTACCCAGGTGAAACTTCCTGAATCGAGTCAAATCAGGCCCTCATTGGCTGGTGCTTTGTGCATATTTAGTAGGTCCATGCTGGCTGAAAGCCTCTGGGTACTACTGATAAGAAGTGGATGAGGAGACCTCTGTTGCCTTTTGACTTGCAGCAGGGCATAACCTGGTGATAGAGGCTCTGAGATTCCTCCAGGAGGTTGTGGAGCCTCTCCATATTGCAATACCCCCCCACACACACACACACACGCACACACCAGTCTTGTGCTCTGAACAAAAGGAGACACCCACCCTGAGAATTCCATTCAGTCAGAAGGGACAGAACTAGATGAACAGCTGTAAAAATGGGGCACCTCAAGCTGAGAAAGGGCCAGAGGCCAAAATTGGACATAGAAAAGAAGCCAGAAATGCCTTCCTGTCCAACAAAGTATGGGTTGGGGATTGGTCAGGCCTTTGAACAAAAATTTGGAGGACAGTGGTCAAGTGATTGCATATAGAGAGCACTTAGAGCAGCCTAGCTCTGTGAGACTCCTTCACTATCATCTCAGCATGTCCACCCTGAAATCTGATGGGTAAGAATGTCCATCTGGTGACACTAAGGTCAAAACAGATGCTCACCTAGAGAGAGCCAGAGGTTTGCCCACAGCTACTCAGTCAATAGAAACATCTAGAGTTATGTGAAATCAACCCCATCTCTCACCTAAACCCAAGAAGATCCATAGCTATGCCTTACAGGACCTCTCTTCTGGCTCACTGCCACTGTCCATTTATACATAGCCCCTCCAGTGCACAGTCTTACAGACCCACTGAGTGCCATGTAAGGCTTCTTTTGGGTTCCACGTAGTTAGGGATGTTGGGAGGATTTCTAGGTCTCTCCTTTCAAGCTTTCAGTATACTGGTCCCAGGGCTTAAAGTGAGCCAGCCAATGAAGCAGATGAGTGGGTGTCAGGTGAGATCTGCAATCCTCTACAGGGCACAGGCAGGCTTCAGCTGCAGTCCTGCATATATAGAGTAAGACATGGCCCAGCCTGCTTGGCAAGTTCATCCTGGTCCCTCCTTGAATCCATCTGGTAATATATCAAAATTGCATGACCTTTCTGCATGAGCAGGAAGAGAGCCCTTCTAGTGGAAACCTGCTAAAGATCACTTTGAGTGACTTAAATCTGGCTCAGTAGCTCAAGTCCAGGTGTTATATATGGGGGTACCAGTCAGGGGTCTTGCCTAGGACAAGTGTCAGCTATCTATCATTTCAAGCCAACCTATGTCCCCCTTACCTCTCTTCCTGAAGTTCCTCTCAGGGCTTCATAAAGGCCCTTTTGCAAGGTTTGGCAGGAAGTGGAAGCAGTAGTGTTAGAATCCTGATAAAACTAGTGGTGCCCTCCTTCCACCCACATTCCACCCAGAGGGAAGGCTGTTTCGAATCTCCTCTTCCTGACATGGAAAGGCAAACAGGCCTGGGGAGATGAATGAGCTCAGCTCCATCTGTTCAGATGGAGCTGGTCTTAAACTCCCAGGAACTGCTATCTCTTAAAGCCTCATTTATTTGCTTCTTTCAACAAATCCAGACATTTTTGCACTTCAACACATCATAACCCAGGAAATTCTAAGAAGGCTCAGTTTACCCCAAACCTTTGCATTTTCATAGTGAACGCAGTCCATCTTGTTTACTTTCAACTTTTTTTTTAAGTGTGTCTCTGCCCCGTGGCCTTCAATTTCCCAAAGGAAGTTTTCTAATTGTAACCCCTTTGAGACCAACTTTTACATACATACAAAACAAAGCAACAAAATTCAGTTCCATTTCTTAATCTTGAGCCAAATCATGCCTCCCTTCAAGGGTGAGATTCTCTTCCTTCTTTGCCTTATATGGCAGATCATTAAGTTTGTCGAAAGTGTGCCTCCAAAATCAGTTAGGAAAATCAGGCTAATGTGAAATCTCACTCTCGCTCCCTGAGTAGAATACCTACAATAATGGCACAGGCTTTCCAATGTACACCCATCCTGTGCCTGTCACTGAAGGAGGCCTGTCAGGATCTGGATCTCATTTCATTCTCACAGCAGCCCTGGAGGGATAAGAGCTGTATTGATATAGGCACTGTTCTAAGTACTCTCCACAAACTGAGGCTTAACCAAACCATCTACTCTATTGTTGGAAGGAAGCTACAGGCCCTACAAAGTCAAGTAACCTGGTCACAGCCACGCAACCATGAGGCAACAGGGCCAACATCCAATGGTCTGACTCCAATCTATTGGCCATATATGTGACTCCATCTTTGTCCTTGGAAATAGTTACTAGTCTGCATTTTTCAATGGTGGAAACCGAGACTCTAATGTTTAGTAATGGGCTTAGTATGGCAGGGTTGCTAAATGGTATGACTAGGTTGTGAAGTGACCCCAGGGTAGGCTCACTTCCAAGTCCTCACTCAGACATGCTTCAGCCGCAGTCCTGCATATATAGAGTAAGACATGGCCCAGCCTGCTTGGCAAGTTCATCCAGGTCCGTCCTTCCTTGAATCCATCTGGTAATATATCAAAATTGCATGACCTTCCTGCATAAGCAGGAAGAGAGCCCTTCTAGGTGGAAATGAGGCTTTAGGAGATAGCAGTTCCTGTGAGTTCAAGACCAGCTCCATCTGAACAGATTCATTAACTTGCTGAGCTCATTCATCTCCCAATGTCACCTCATTCCAATGTCGTGTTATCAGAGTGATCTATGGAAATACCTGGAAAGTGCATCTTTTTGCAGTGCTAAATGTGAATGATAAAAAACATTTTTGAATAATCATATTTCAATTTTCACATCACTTACCATGCTCCTTATAAATTTGAACTGATCCATGTCTGTAGGTTAAAATTGTTGGTCTGGGTAGCAAGGTGAGCTTGATAACAATGGGCCACGGGATGCATTCATGCCTGAGCGACTGCTGCCTTCTTTTCTGTCTGACTCTGCCCATGGAGAAAGCTAAACCAAGGGGCAGGTGTGATAAAGCTGGAGTGGGGTCTCAGCTTTCCAGGACTCTTAAATTAAACACCTGTTCTGTAGGAAAGTCTTACTTTCTAACTTTGGGATTGTGGTGGCAAGGGTTGCCCTCTTACTCCTCACCACCCTATACAAATACAGGTTCCTTCCTATGAAATATCAAGAAATCTAGAAATAGAGCTGAAACTTAAAAACACTGGCAGTAATGACTATTGATCAAACATTTGCCAAACACTTTGGGAAATGCCCCTTCATTGTGAAGTGGTTAAGCCAATGTGATAAATAATTGGTTTCTGGCTTGGATCTCTGAAATCAACAAAGATAGCAAGAAATGAAGGCGCCCTCTTGACTTCCAGACAACCTTCTTCATCCCATTATGCTTCCTTCATAGATTCAGGGTCTCTGTAACTGACTAGACTCTATACTCTGCTGTTTGATGTCCCCTGTCTCCTCTCCATCCGTCCACCTGCTGATCCATACCTCAGTACTAGTGCCCTGTGACTCTGCTCTTGAAAAACGTCAAATGCCTCCCACAGAAGATGATGAATACCAGAACTGTAATGATTGCTCATGCTCTGGAGTAAATGCAGGGAGTGGGGAGCTAGGAACAAACAAAAGTATAATAAAAATGTACCTACCTATGATGAGAAGAAACCACAAAACTTTATTTGTTGTTTGTGAGAGAAGATTGGAAAATTTAAAATCCTGAACCACGATGTTGACTTTTCCTTGAGAAATTCACGCACATAATACTACTGTAGCAAAATTTGCAATGAAGCATTCTTAAGAAATTTGTTCAATATGATTACAAAATTCACCTGAAATTCTACAAAATTAAGAAGAGCTAAGGAATTTTTGAAAAAGAAGAGCAGAGAGAGAAGATTTGCCTTATCCTACAAATATTAAGCCTCAGTAATTAAAATAACTAAGACAATGCGTGCATAAAATGATGCCCCAAACCAACCAAACACTACCTGGACCAAATAGACTGTGTGACCATTGTCATGGCCCTCAGTGGTGATTGTGGGCCAGAGTGTGCACTCAGAATTATGTAAACTACTGGGGAAAAGCACAAAATGAAGTCTTATTCCATGACATACTAATATAAATTCTAAATAATTAAAACAATTAAATATGTAAAAACTATCACTAATATTATGTAAAATCAGCATACTATCGAAATACAGCTACATCAATGTTTATAGAGTGCAATTCACAATAGCCAAGTTCTGGAATCAGCCCGGGTGTCTGTCCATCAGCAGATGAATGGATAAAGAAAAAATTGTATATATACACAGTGGAGTTTTACTCAGCCATAAAAAAGAATGAAATTGTGGCCTCTGCTGGTAAAAGGATGGAACTAGAGAACATCATGCTGAGTCACATAAGGCAGGCTCAGAAAGTCAAGGGTCAAATGTTTCCTCTTAGATATGGAAGCAAGGGGGAAAAAAGTGGGGGCAATCCCATGAAAACAGTAGGGAGATCAGTAGAGTAAGGGGAATATATTTGAGGGGAGGAAAGAGAAATGAGAGGATCTGTGGGGTGAAATTGACTAAACTATGCTATGTGCATATATGAATATACCATAGTAATTTTTATCTTTTTGTATATCCATAATATATCAATTTAAAAAATAATAAATAGAATAAAGAGCAGTAAAATAGAAGAAGGAGAACAGAGCTTGATGAGGGAAGAGAGAAGGGAGAAAGGGAGCACAGGGAATTGAAATGGAGCAAATTACATTCCATGCATGTATGATTATGTCAAATGAATCAGACTATTATGTGTAAATATAATGTACTAATAAAAACATTTAAAATAGAAAAAAATGTTTTAAATAAAAACATTTAAAATTTTAAAGTTACAATTAAATATTTGATTTTAGCACAGCAGTCATGAGAGTTGTGGAAAGAACTCACAAAGGAATAGATTCACAGTCTTAATTATATCCGTTAACTCGGCAAAGATGATTCCACAGCAGGTGTTGGGGAGATGGAGTGAACCAGAAGAATGTCATACCATCATGACATTCTTACATTTTCTTTGGAGAATGTTTGAGAATGACAAATTCTATCCAGAAAATTCAAAGTCACTAATATGTCAGCAAATATCTGGTTGACTAGAGAAGACTGAAACAAATTGATAAGAAGTCAGTGAAGAGAAAAGCAGGGGAATTCCTTCCAAGCAAAGGAAACAAACACTGAAAATGTCCTGGGGCAACCTGGACCTGGTGAAGCACAATGCAGAAAATCATATACTATCTTTATCAATTCAGTTGTAAAGCTGTTTGTGACAGCTCTCATTGTTGCACAGGTGTGGACTGTGGGAGACAGACAATGCACCAGCCTTACAGGTTGGACTGTTAACAGAAACAAGATGTCCAGAAGAAGTTGTTGTTTTGAATCTAGGTCCACAGATATAGAGCTCTCGTTGATGAATGTATGAATGAATACTTCTAGTTAGACATGGTCCTGTAAATAATATATTTTTGCTCTTTTTTCTGTCACAAGGAACCATTTTAGATCCAACATGCATGAAGGCAAAGGAAAGTGTTTTGGAGACCATGGATTAGGTATTGAGATGGTCTGTAAATAAATACAGTCATGCTGTGGTAATTATAAGTGATGGACCAGGTGATCCATGTAGCCATATGACCAGGAGTGCCTGGGTCCTCTCTCTAGATCCAGTTCTGGCCCACCTTCCAGTTACTTGCTCCTAACAGAAGTTACCCACTCCAGTATCAGGATAAATTTGGACAGTCCTGCTCCTTGGCTGTGTGGTAGGTCAAGAGAGTAGTCACATGTCTAATAATCTCCTGTGATTATAGGATTTTTCCAGAGCTCTTCTTTCTTTTCCTGTGTTGGTTGTTTTCTTCTTTGTTTCTCAGTGTAAAGCCCTATAGCAGGACATACTGGGATATAAGCTGGAACATGTGATGGGTGACTGGCACCTTTCAGGGGTTAGGTACTGAGATGGTGATCTTTTCAAGTCTGGGGAGGGAGGGTGAAGCAAGAGGCTAAATAAGGACATAGCAGACAATCTCTTCTTCAGAACTGGGGCAGGGAAAGGGATAGATGACAAAGGATGGCTTCCCAGTCTCCAGTATTCTCCTAGATCAGCACTGAAGCCTTCCAGTGGCCTCATATTATTTAGCCCTATAGTTGTAGTTTAAGAATTTATTCTTGTTTTTTATTGATTTTTAAAAAAATAAATGATAGCAGAATGCATTACAATTCTTATTACACAAATATAGCACAAATTTTTATATCTCTGTTTGTATATAAAGTATGTTGACACCAATTTGTGTCTTCATACATAACTTTGGATAATGATACCCATCACATTCCACCATCCTTTCTAACCCCCTGCCCCTTCCCTTTCCCTCTCACCCCTCTGCCCTATCTAGAGTTTGTCTATTTCTCCCAGGCTCCCCCTCCGTACCCCACTATGATTCAGCCTCCTTATATCAGAGAAAATATTTGGCATTTGTTTTGGGGGATTGGCTAACTTCACTTAGCATTATCTTCTCCAACGCTATCCATTTACCTGAAAATGCCATGATTTTACTCTCTTTTACTGCTGAGTAAAATTACATTGTGCATATAATGCCATATTTTTTTTATCCATTCATCCACTGAAGGGTATCTAGATTGGCTCCACAGTTTATCTATTGTGAATTGTGCTGCTATAAACATTGATGTGGCTGTGTCCCTATGGTATGCTGTTTTTAAGTCCTTTGGATACAGACTGAGGAGAGGGATAGCTGGGTCAAATGGTGGTTCCATTCCCAGATTTCCAAGAAGTCTCCATACTGCTTTCCATACTGGCTGCACCAATTTGCAGTCCCACCAGCAATGTATGAGTATACATTTTCCCCCACATCCTCACCAATACTTATAGTTGTTTGTCTTTGTAATAGCTGCCATTCTGACTGGAGTGAGATGAATCTTAGAGTAGTTTTGATTTGCATTTCTCTAATTGCTAGAGATGATAAGCATTTTTTATATATTTGTTGATTGGTTGTATATCTTCTTCTGAGAAGTGTCTGTTCATGTCCTTGGCCCATTTGTGATTGGCTTATTTGTTTTTTGGTGGCTTAGCTTTTTGAGTTTTTTATATACTGGAGATTAGTGCTCTATCTGATGTGTGAGGGGTAAAAATTTGCTCCCGGGATATAGGCTTTCTATTCACCTCACAGATTGTTTCTTTTGCTGAGAAGAAACTTTTTAGTTTGAATCCATCCCATTTATTAATTCTTGGGCCTCAGGCCAACATCATTCTAAATGGAGAAAAATTAAAGGCATTCCCTCTAAAACTGGAACAAGACAGGGATGCCATATTTCACCACTTCTATTTAACATAGTTCTTGAAACACTGGCCAGAGCAATTAGACAGATGAAAGAAATTAAAGGGATACACACAGAAAAAGAAGAACTTAAATTAGCACTATTTGCTGATGATATGATTCTATACCTAGCAGATTCAAATAACTCCACCAGAAAACTCCTAGAACTAGTGAATGAATTCAGCAAAGTAGCAGGTTATAAAATCAACACCCATAAATCAAAGACATTTCTGTATATCAGTGACAAATCCTCAGAAAGGGAAATGAGGAAAACTACCCCATTTACAATAGCCTCAAAAAAATAAAATAAAATACTTGGGAATCAACTTAACGAAAGAGGTGAAAGATTTATACAATGAAAACTACAGGACCCTATAGTAAGAAATCAAAGAAGACCTTAGAAGATTGAAAGATCTACCTTATCTTGGATAGGCAGAATTAATATTATCAATGACCATACTACCGAAAGTACTATACAGATTTAATGCAATTCCAATCAAAATCTCAATGGCATTCTGTTGAGAGCCACAGCCAAAGGGGCCCCAGCAAACTTCCAGCTGCCAGCAAACTTCCAGCTGCTGGCTGATGATTGGCTCACAGCGGCCCCAGCAACATCTAGCTGATTGGCTCCTCGGCCCCAGCAACATCTAGCTGATTGGCTCCTCTGCGGTGATGCTCATTGGACTGTTTCCCTGCCCTTTCAGACCACGGAGCTGCTCATTGGGGGACTTTTTTGGCTCCGCCCACGTGACCCAGCCAATCGGCCTCAAGAGCAGGAGGATTGTGGGAGGTGGGGAGAAGCTTGTGGGGGAGAGAGAGGCTTGGGGAAAGCCTGTGGTGGCAGTTGAGGCTCTGAGGGTTTTTCCTGAGAGACTATTTTGTTTGTCGTGTGTGGTTCTAAAAATAAAGTTAGTTTCTTTTGACAAGTGGCTCCTGATTGTGCCCAGCCAGACTGCGGCACATTCCTCATAGAAATATAAGAAGCAATCATGAAATTCATCTAGAAAAATAAGAGACCCAGAATAGCTAAAGCAATCCTTAGCAGGAAGAGTAAAGCAGGTAGCATCACTATACCAGACCTTAAACTATACTACAGAGCAATAGTAATTAAAACAGCATGGTCTTGGCACCAAAACAGACTGGTAGACCAATGGTACAGAACAGAGGACACAGAGACTAACCCACAAAATTACAATTATCTTATACTAGCAAAGGTGACAAAAACATGCATTGGAGAAAAGATAGCTTCTTCAACAATGGTGCTGGGAAAACTGGAAATCTACATGCAACAAAATGAAATTAAACCCCTATATCTCACCATGCACAAAACTCAACTCAATGTGGATCAAGGACCCAAGAATTAAATCAGAGACTGCATCTAATAGAAGAAAAAGTAGGCCCTAATCTTCATCATGTGGGATTAGACCCCAAATTCCTTAATAAGAGTCCTATAGTGCAAGAATTAAAACCAAGAATAAATAAAAGAATTTATCCTTGGCATAAACTTCCAATCCGTTTAAAATTGTGCATGAGAATGAATCATAATGTAGCTAGCGGAGTTCCTGAGGCAGAACCTTTTTGACATATTTGGAATTTTGAGATCCCACTTTTTTTTTTGCTATCTTTTGGGAGGAAAAGAAAAATCCTTAAGTCTTGTCAATAAATTTTAATTTTTTAAGCAAGGTGTCTTGCTTTGAGGAGTATACTTGTCACAGATTTGTTTGGTGAACAATCTTTGCTATAGTTTCTCTGACCAAGTGTTCTGTAAGTGCATTGAAATTGCTTTAAGACAAGCAGCTTCTCTAGTGGTAATCTTGCCTATGCATGCCCAGATTATCCTCATTCTAGGAGACTTCTTCAAAGATTAGAATCCTTCATAGATGGTGACAAATGCCCTAGTGACTTTTCAGTGGCCATAGCAGATGTAATGTTTAGAATGTTCAATTTTGTTCTTGAATGAAGTTCAGAAACAAATAGGGAGAAGAACCGAATCATTTACACATCATGCAAACAAACCAAAATAGAGAAAAAATAAAATTGCCCACCAAATTTTTAAACTAAGTGTACAGATGAAATGAAATATTTAATCAGGCATACAAAACAAAGAGTGGATTCACCAGAAAAGATATGAAGAATTTACAGATAAAATTTAGGTTCTTAGAAACCACAACACTCAAACCAGAAGGATGATTATCCTTACATGAGGAAAGACTTGCAAAAAGTCTTTCATAATCCTAAGAGGGATGAGAGATTCTTCACCTAAGTCAGTCTTATTCAAGAAAGATCTCAGGTAAAGTCAGTAGAAACTCTATCAAAAAGAGAGGGGCTCAGTTTCAGAAAAAAAAATTCACCAGAATGAAAAAAGATGAGCCATAAAAATGGATAAAAAAAAGGAACTCAGTGTTGGTGCCATTCTTAGTTCCAGGAATCTCTGATCACCTCTGATGATGGTCTTGCTTCACATCCCACTTCCAACACCAAACATGCCAAACTAAATAGCAACGAGAGAGAGAGAGAGAGAGAGAGAGAGAGAGAGAGAGAGAGAGAGATTCTTTAAACACAAAGAGTTATATGGTAGTGGCAGAGTACTGCATGGGAATCACACCATATTAAATTATGGGCATATAAAGAGGATTGGAGAAAGAGGAACTTCAAAGGGAAAAAAAGGCATACTACATAAATTATTTTGGAACAACCGCTGTCCACAAGAATTTGGAAAGTGTATAAAAGGCCAATAACAAGTGTGGAACCAACACAATGTTGAAAAGAAGTCCTTACAGAAGTATTTTTTGTGTCAAGGATTTAAAAATGAATTAGACAATAGGCATCTAGGTCATTGACTGGTATGGAGCTGTTATATTTGGGAAGTCATTAATTTTAAAGCTTTGTGGCAGGCTTTACGCAAAGTTGTGATTCTGGCAGAATTTTTAGGGATAGCTCTTGTTAGTCAGGCACATGTACATGAAATCTCCTCCTCCATAAACTCTCAACTTCATGTATCATATCTTTCATTTTTGTTAGAGGTTGACCCAAGTGACTCCATCTTGAATATGATTTGATTTGATTAACAGAGAGCATCAACAAGGCCACTCTGTCAGTCCTGACTGGTCCTGACTCCACTGCCTTAATCCAGGCAACTGAAGTCTTCTGGCCCAATTCCAGAAGCATCTCAGTGACTTTCTCTTTCTTCTCTTCCCTACAGAGGAGTTGCGGCAACTTTGCCCTGTTGAGACCTCCATGTGCACAGATTCCCTGCAGCCCAAGGATTGTCCTGCAACCCAGTAGGGAATGTTTCCACTTCACACAGGCACCCTGTTCCCCAAATATCCCTGCCCCACAAGAACTATGGACCCCAGAGTTCTATCTTCAACCAGCTCGAGAGTGCTGCTCCATGCCACATACACTGTGCACCCCAAGGATACGCCTGCAACCCAGCAGGGATTGCTTTTCCCTCAACAGCTACCCTCAGTGCCAGCACCCCCCACCTAGGTACTCCCAGTCTTTCAGAATACTGCCCCTGCTCCCTCCCTCTGCCCGGAAATCTATAGACTCCCTAGGTCACCCCTACCACCCTTGCCCTACTTCTAAAAGACCCAAAACTTAAGAATAAGAGGTCTTTGTTGCTGAATATGTATTGAGTCTTGGTTTATAGTGAAGAGGTGTTGGGGTTTGCTGCTGATCAGTATAGGTATGTCACCTGGAGAGATACTACCCCATTTACAATAGCCTCAAAATAAATAAATAAATAAATAAATAAAATACATGGGCCTTAAAGAAAGAAATAGAAGAACTTAGAAGATTAAAAGATCTACCTTGCTCTTGGATAGGCAGAATTAATATTATACTTATGATGCACCAGCCAGAACAAAGCAGTCTGGAGTGTGGCATGCATGAGTCCCATCCCCAATAGCCTGGTCACCAAGAGCTGAGAAGAATAGGGCTTATGCCAAGTTCTCTATAAAAACAAAAGTCCTAAAAATCTTTGAACACAAACATTATCCTCAGTATTCTTCCCTCATTTTTTGCAAAATGATGTAATTGAATTTTTCATCCCCTGTACTGCACATCTCTTGTTTTTATTTTTTGACTCCCAGAATTCTGAATATGTCCTGCATGGAGACAAAAATTTATTCTAGAAATGAGACTTCTCCTTTTAGATACCTCACAATGACAGCACAGGGGATTTCAAAAGATCCTCTGAATTTCATTGAAGGAGGTAAACCTCCCTTGTGGGCTCTTCAACACCAGAGAAGAAAACTAGTCCCACACAGCTAAGTTCACCATGCAGCATCTTGCCACCCAGGGTGTACACCAGTGTCAGCATGGCCTCCCAAAACCCCTCCCCCCCCCACAGGCATGGGAGCCCTACGGGGCCTTGATGTCCTCAGGAGGGTGGGAAATTATGGCCCAGGTGGCCAAGTCATTTCTAATTTATCTTGATAAGTTAATTTAGTAGTAGCCTTGCAACCTTCCACATAAAGTACATATTTATATTTTCAGTTGTGGTTTTCTAAGGCATGATCAGGGAATAATAAGCCACATTTTGGGTTGTAATTAGTATTGATTGATTTGGATGAATAGTGGAAGCCATACTGTCCCTTACGTTTTCAAAGAAAGAAAATATGCTGGAATAGATTGTGTTGTGTATGTAGAGGCTCTTTGCAGAATTTCAAAACATCCCTTCCAGGAGTTACTATTTTTTTCTTCAATTTGTTTTTCCTACACTGTCTTGAGTTACCACAGTCTCTGCCCCACATCTGAGTCCTAACAGCTGATGGTACCTAATCATCTCCCAACCCTTCCGGCCTCTGGCAACACATCTGCCTCCCAGCTGAGTAGAGGAGGCATCCAAAAACTCCTGGAAAATAAGTCAAGTCAAAGCCAAGAAAGTGGACAAGGAAGCTCCAAACCTGAGTGTGCATTCAGTGGTTGATTTGGTCCCATTTGGAGGGTCATTCCCAGAGCAACCCTGAGTGCTTCAGAGAATAATCAGCCCTTCTACATCTCACTTCCTGTCAGTTGTCATGGGAGGTAAGCCTTACTGGGTCAAAAATTTATGTTATTCTGTTTTTGTTTTGCAACAAATAAAAGTCTCTCATTGTGTATATACAGAAACACCCAAGTGTTCCCACTTGACTGCTGGTCAGGTAGAGGTGTTTAGGCAGAGGGTACTGAAGTCTGGCTAGCACTTGGCATGGTCCCCATGTGCATCTTCATCTGACTGGGTCCAGAGAGAAGGGTCACAGACACACATGCAAGGGTAGGGTGGGATGGGCATTTTAGAGCAATGCATCCACTTCTCTCCAGCCTATGGATTCCAGGATGTAGCTCCTTTGGCTGGAGGCTGGCCATGGCTCCTGGCTGGGGAGAGCCTCCCTCACCACTGATAGTGGAGTAGCCTGTCCCCCTGGATGGATCCTCCTAAAATTTAGTGTTCAACCTCTCCCTTTATCCCTCAGTGCAATCTCCAAAACTAAATGGACGCTTGAGCTCCCTGAAGCTAAGAGCCTCCCTCTGACACTTAGTGCGGGGAGTTACAGGCCTCCTCTATAAGCACCAGTGCACAGCACGTGCCTCTACACCCCAGTTGGAGCATATGTGCCTATGCAAGCTGTGGCCTTAAAGAAGCACCCCCAACCCTTTGTCTATGACCAGAACCCCTAAGTAGGCCCAGAATGTAGAGAAAATCAAGGTGAAAGAAGGTAAGCCCATTTACCACTCAAGTGCTTGCTCCTGTGATGTGCTAGACACTTTGCACAGATAAGTAATCTATGGACCCATTCAGTTTTGTATTCTCTCTCTCCTCTCTGTTGTCCTGTTCACATTTTAAGTAAGCAGGTAGCCAGCCCTTGCTAGTGTCACATGTTTAGGATAAGTTCACATTTACATAAGAGGATATTTATTACAGATTCACATGGAGACAGAGAAGTCCCACAATCTGCCATCTGGGGAGGGTGGGGGCAGTGTAAGTCCACATGCTAAGGTCTGAAAGTGTTTGCATCCCCTTAAAATTCCTACGTGGAGATCCCTATGCCCAGGGAGATGGTATTGTGTGTGTGTGTGGAACTCTAGAGAGGGGGATTAGGCCATGAGGGCAGTGCCTCACCAATTGGATTTATGTCTTATAAAAGAGGCCCTGGGGCACTGCTTTGCCCCTTCCACCATGAGATGACAAAGCCCAAAACACCCACAGTGAACCAGATTCTCACCAGACTCTGATTTGTTTTTGGATATCCAAATCTCCAGAATTATGAGAAATAGATTCCTGCTGTTTGTTGGCCACTTGTTTTGTGGTGGTTTTCTGGAGCCCTATGAAGTACCACTAAGTGGGAAGCAAGAGGCATGAAGTCACCTCCCTCCTGCTTGTATCAGGCTGAAAGTCCTGAGTGGTGACAGTCAGTCTCTCTGAATCAGGGGGTAGAGTGGAGCCAGAGACAGGAATGGAGGAGTTAGAGAGAACACCTACGTATCAGTAGACTCCAGAGGAGAGGTAGGGCAGTGACCAGGCCCAGGCGCTCAACTTCACCATAGTCGCAAGGATCAAGGACCCACACAGGCTGCATACTAGGTGACTTGGGAAACCATAAGGACTGTAACCTTATGAGGCTTTCTGGCCACAGGACTTTACCACAACCATGCAGAAGGAGGATCTCCTTTAAGAGCATATGAAAAATATTTCCAAATATGAGTAAGTCCATTTCTAAATCATGAATATTTTAGATGAAACACAAAGCTTGCAGAAATTCACAGACTACTTCAGAATGTTACCCCAGATTATAGGCAGTATGCTCACTTCTTATGTCAGCTGGAGAATTTCCATGGAAACATTAAAAAGACACCCATTTAAGGTCTGTACAAGCTATATAGAGGGAGGACCCAAGAGGAGACAGAAGGACAAGTTTGTAGTGGCTGCAAAAATGAGGGCATCCTGGCCTTAGTGGGTCAACACCCTATAAATCCCACAGGAACCACACTTGGCCTTCACTTTTAGATCTTCCTGGTCTCTGGGTCATGTAGCCTCTGGTATAGACCAGTTTCTTCTCACGACACCAGGTTCCTACTCCCACCATCTCTATCTCTTTATGCACATGGCTGTTCATCTTCTGCTTAGACAACTTGCAGAGTTTAATTAGATGCTCCCCAGGAACACATTGATCCAGTCTGAGTCAAGAAGTCTATCCCAGTCAGGTTTGCATTAGTTCAATAAAATACTTGGGGTATTTAACTGATAAAGAAAAAAGACCTCTTTAGCTCATGGTTCCAGGGGATGTAGTCCAAGATCAGGCAACCCATTCTTTGGCCTTTGGTGAAGGCAGTGCGTCATGCTAGGAGCATGTGGCATAGCAAACTGCTTGTAGCATGAGCGAAGAAAACAGAGAAGCAGGAAAGGCTGAGGTCTTACAATCCCTTCCAAGGACATGCCCTCAAAGACTGAAGTACCTCTGCCTAGGCCACACCTCCTAAAAGTCCAGAGGACCTCCCAAAGACACTACCCTGGAGACCAAACACATGGACGCCTGAGGGACACTATCCAAACAATAACAGTGTCCATGCCCTATCCAATTATCAGAATTGTACCACACAAGCAATAGCTGCTGCTGGGTTAAGCATTAGGCTTGGGGGGCAGTATTGAAGATGTGACCATGGATTGAACAGGTGCCTCCAAAGTTGTCATCAACATGTTGAGGAGTCTACCCATCTGTTTTCCTCTCCCAGTGTGACTCCTGTCACCCCATGTCCTTCACTCTTGCTTCTTTCTTTACCTCACTTTATGATGTCCCCCAGAAAGCTAAGCCATGTGAGCAGTTGTGAGCTCCTTGGCATCTACTCTCAGATGCCTAGCACCTGTTTTTCTGTCAGGGTTACATCTACCTGATGCCTCCTTCCTACAAATGGAGCTTGAAACCACTGGGAGAATAGGGCTGGTCATGGGCAGTGTGGAGATGAGGGATTTCTATCCCTTACATGTAAAGAATGGGTTATTAATAGAAAATCCTTTGTATTGGTGCACTGGGGTTGCCAAAATAAAGGATCTTAGACTGGGTGAATTAAAAATCAGAAATTTATTTTCTCAAAATTTTGTAGGCTAGCAAAGATGAAGGTGGGTTGGTCAGTTTTCCTTTACTGTAACAAAAAAACGAAGATACACAACTTAAAAAAGGAAAAGTTTTCTTCAGTTTACAATTTTCTAGGTTTTAGTCTATAGTTGATTTGCTTTTGGGTCTTTTTTTGTGAGACCAAGCATCATGGCCGATAGTGTGTAGTGAAGCAAAATGCTCATTTTATGGTTCCTGAGAAGCAAAGCATGGAGAAAGAGGAGCTCCTGGGATCTTCATAACTCCTTCAAGGGCATGACTTCAGTCACCTAAGTTTTCCCCTAAACCCCAGCTCTTAAATGTTTGTAGTATTTTCCAATAGTGTCAAGCAAGAATAAACACTAAGTATGTTTGAGACATTTACGGTAACATTTGAGATGAAACTCAAGCACAGATACAGAAGTGTGAATAGAGTCAGATGCTTTTGAGGCTCAAAGTGGCTTGATTTATAGGTGACTGCCTTCTCACTCTGCCTGACCATGATCTTTCCTCTGTGTGTATCTCTTTT